TGTGATCTTCATGGCGGAAACATAGTTTTGCATGATGATGATTATAAGGCACAATCCTTCATATGCGATCTTAGTCTTTCTCAATCAGTGAATTCACATAAACAAAATTCAACCATTCGAGAACGCGCTTTACCCTTTATTGCACCAGAAGTCTTTCATACTTGCAAATTTACTCAGAAATCAGACATATATTCTTTCGGTATTATTATGCATTTGATGGCCACTGGTGAGCCGCCATTTGGAGATGAACAGTTTGATAGAGACTTAATATGCGATATTATGGGTGGACTACGACCATTGATGCCTGATTCAGCACCAGAAGAATACAAGAAACTTGCTGAGCAATGCTGTGATGCTGATCCTGATAAGCGTCCAAATGTATGGGAATCCTATAATCGTATCAAAGAGGTGATACAGAATAATTCTGGCAATAATATATGGGATACCGTCTATCATAAACTATTAGCTACTGAAGATTTGCCCAAACCGAGAAGCAGTTATGATTTTATTCAGTTGCAGATATGACTACAACAATTGGTTACATCTTAAAGTCAATTTACAATATTAACGTCGTCCATTGTCTTATAATTTAGTGACTCAAAAATTTTTAATGAAACATTCTTACACGAGTTTTATGGCAAGAGTTTTCAATTAAGTACGACGATACCAATTAGAAGTTTAGTTTTAAAGTAAATATTCATTAGAAATATTATCACAATAAATATCTAGAAAAATTATATTAGCTTAGCAACTTAGTGGCTCTTAGTTTAATTCCACTAAGAAATAGTAGTAAAAGTCGAAGTTGGAATTTCGATGGCGTTGGCTGAAGTCGACGTCATCGATTTTTCGCAATGCGCCCTGTCACAAAAATAACAAAAAAATTGCGACAGAAAGTATAACATAAAATTTAGTTATGACAGGTTTCAAAAATTGTACCTCACCTACTTATGCAAATTCTATTGTTAGTGTGTGTTGAAATAGTTATAAAAGTTGTAGTCCGTTTGAGCAAATAATAATTATAATATTTATATTAAATAAAATGCTACGATCGGTATGAGATTAATTAAAATTTATCATCTACACAATTTTTGATTGGACTTGTTCACTAAGAGCGCCGAGAACAAGTATAAGGGATTCCTTAATTAGACGCGTGTCAAACTTTATCACCCTTAGAATTAATACACTCTCGACTAAGTAATAATGGTTCTATTCTTGTGCGTCGTTGTTGCTGAACGGAAGTGTCTATTGCTTACGAAGTTAGATAAATATCTGGCTGTAATTAAGCGGACGCTGGAGTATCAGACCACAGGAAAGAATGGTTCGATTATCGGTGCAATATTTATTTATTTAATTAGCACACACTATTAGAGTGAGGGTATAAAGAGCCGCCTGCAAATTTTAGCTACGCCCTAATTGACGCGAATGTGCAAGTAAGACCACGTTTAGGGCTATAATTTTGAGAATATCCCCCGGTCAAATTTGAACACAAATGCTCTACCAGGTGACTGAACGTAACAATAGCAATGCTAAGGTCACTAACGTGTTAGCAAATGCGGAGATTGTCCAAAATCTCAATATTTAAAATTTGGGCGTTGAATAATTTCAGTTGTAGTATTGTCATCTCACGTAGCAAGCGCAAGCAGCAGGGACATGGAGAGTATAAAATTATTATTAGTAAGGTGAACAGATTATCAGTTCTGCACTAATTGAAATTTGAAATGTTGCGCTATCAAACAGGCGCAACCCCAAATTGATAATGTTGCACACTACAATATTGCAAGTTATCCCCTTGTTTCTATTTAATCTACTGCAAACAATCAGTTTAAAAATACATAATTGCTTCTACTATTAGCAGTTAATAGCAGTATTAAACGCGTTTATAAAAGCAACAGACAGCTCAGCATTCATTTTGTATAGTGTAGTTAGTAAGTGTATTATGCTGTAATGTAGTGTATTTGTAGTGTATTGTGTTATCGCGTTTAGCATACATAGTATAATGTTAACGTATAAGTGAAAGAAGTATTCCCGCTGCTACCACATGTTAACAATATATTATAGAATATGCTGTTGACAACGCAGCTATGTCAGGATTGAGAATTAATAGAAATAACTAATCCTGTTGTAACAGTGCTTGTAGAGATTAAAGATATTCATGGTTCAACAATTGACAGTTCTTCGCCTGAAGATTTCTGACATAAAGTTATGTCAAATAGATACCGATAGACCATCTAATATTAATGGATAACATTGTTGTTATCAGTTGGAAACATGGTATTTGTAAGTGAATTTACTAGGGTATACACACCGCTATCCACCTAATGGCAAGCAATCTGAAGATATGAAATACGGCTTAGGGCTCATAACATGATATTATATTCCCTTTAGAAACATACAGGATACTCTCGGAATTTACAAGATTAAAGCTCTTGTCTATTTGATAGAGCGTCAAGTTAACAAACGTTATATTATAATCAGTAATGCGAAAATAAAAACCAATTTCCGATAAACAATATTAATAATATGGTATGAATCATAGACATGTGTTTCACAACAATTCTTCATGGTGCAATTGCTTGTTCGCTCAAAGCGTTGTTTGCTTTAACATTATACATCAGAACCAATTCTTATAGTTGCGGTTGACTCCTCCACCAGCTGGCTACGACAGTATTATCTGCATTTCAGCAAACAAATGCTAGGCGAAGTGCTATGAATGTATTTCAGAAGTAATTTATAACTATTTTTCGCTGGGCGTTAAAAATATCCATTTTTTCATCTGATAGCATATCCAGAGCGAATTATCTTACAATGTACTAGTATGAGTTGTTATGGTTTATCGAGGCATGTATTAATATTAATATTAACCTGGTTGTTTGTGAGATGCGTACACTAGTACGATTGTTCTGGCAGTCGAGTTGCGATACCATTTGGTGAAACATGACGCCACCACGATTTTTGTGCTCACGCCACACAGTATTCTACTTTGGGCGCGCGTATATTTCGGACGAATTTCGTCAACTCTTTGCGCGAAATAAATCAAAATGCTAACTGAAGAAGTATATTTCGAACTTGCTTGAATCTCTCACTGTTATTGGAATAGAATGTTTTAGAATAATAACTTTTCTTTAGGAATTTGAACGTAAAGTGAAGGATGTCGTGCGTCTTGCTCTGTGTTCTGAACTCCGTCGTACCCCAATGCGTCGTGAAGACATATTGAAAAAAGGTATGCAGTTTACTCTCACTCGAGGTTTCGTAGGCGTTGTGTTCAAATGTCCAATACTGACAATACTTTATTGAACAGTTCTCGTGAATCATCCTAAAGCATACAATCAAGTAATGGCTGCCGCTGATACCCGTTTGCGTGACGTTTTTGGCATGACAATAGCTGAATTACCGACAAAGGAGCGAAGGAATGTTATTGGGAGTACTGCTGCACGAAGAGGTACGAATGTGTTGACAAAGTTGAACGTCCGATTAACAACGTTCATGTGTACTATTTCTTATGTTTCAGCCGCTGCAAATAAGGACAGACCAACCACAACATATGTGAAATCATATATGCTCAAGAATGTTATACCGCAAGAACATAGACGGTCTGAATTGATAAATTGGAGAAACGACGAGCCTGCGATGGGATTGCTAATGGTCATACTGAGTTTAATACTTGTAAATGGACGAGTTCTGACCGATGGTAATGCTCGAAGTTGAACGTTCCGTCCCGGGAAATCACAACTAACGTGTGGGATCACTGCGTTGTATAGATCAACTCAATCATTACTTCCGCCGCCTCTATTTAACTGAGAACCACCACGAAGTCTTTGATAATATCGGCGAGGTTGTCAACACATTTGTAAAGCAGGGTTATCTGGATAAAGTGAAATTAGCATCCGCCGACACTTCTCGATCTAGTGATAAAGACCATTATGAATATTATTGTGGTCCGCGGGCAAAAGTAGAAATCAAAGAGAGTAATATGATCGGATTCATACAAAGGGTACGTGATTTGAGATTGCAGCATATCACGGTTTTAGCTTGTGATTAACATGCTTTAACACTTAATGAATTTGTAGATTTTTGGCGACGTATCCTTGGAGAAGTTGAGTAAACAGATTGAAAGAGCGTCGGGGACTGAAATTAGAGACGAATAGTTTGCAAGATAATATCACATCCAAAAGAAATTTTATGGTATAATGTAATATGAATCTAATCTCTAATCGCAACATATGCGGGAAATACGTCATTAAAAGCATCAATCTTAACGGTTCGGTTGAATGATGCAAGACACTGCAATGTTGTAGTATTATTGATGCTTTGGTTGAATTCTCGAGACGATCTAATATCAAAGGTTAAATAAAACGTGGATGGGAATCTTAATGTGAATACATGGAATAATCAATTACAAACAGTTTATGACGCTTACTCTTCGGAATCAGTCCTCGAGTCTCCGGCATTAATCCACGTAGGTATGTTCAAAACAATCCGGAGGATAGGCATAGACGCATGCTGCGACAAGTAAGTCAATCAACAAATACGTTCCGTATCTTAACGGTTTATCGTGCGAGCGACAGCCATCGTGTGAATGAAGATAGCAATATTGATAAACTCAATATAATCCTTCTTCGGCTTTGCCCTTGTAATATCAAAACATAGAGCGGTTATATAAGATTGGGGTAATTGCCACGTACCTGATCCCAGAAAACTAGTGCAGACACGGATGTAAACTTTAAAACAACAGAATATGTTTCGTGATGCATCAACAGGAAATCTATTATTATTGTCTGATTGATTAATTCCCACGTTTTTCAATTGCCGATTTTCATGATCCATCGAAAAGCCACAAGTTAGTACTCATCGTCATTTTGAGACATATTATGACAAGAATGCGTTAATATCATACCAATATACACCAATAGAATAATAGTCCGTTAATATTATAATGATTTCCCAAAGTACCGAGGTTTCACCAAAGCAAACATTTGATTTAATTGGGTGCATAAATGATCGGCAGTTTAAATATGAAGGCAGGCTCAGTATGCCACGTATGCTGTATTTCAAAGCTTATTATTCTAACAATAGCGTTATATCGTCAACGTCAAGTAAATAGATAACGCCCATACACAGTGCCCCACACAAACAATAATACATGGTTACATCCAACCGGGCGAGAAACGAACTAGGGTTGCTTCGCCGCCCTGCGGTATGTAGGTATACCATTAAAGTTGAAATTGAATAAGATAGTTTTAATATAACTTCATCCATTATCGAAATGAACAAACCCTCTTAGAGAGAAAAATACCCTAAAGACTATTCTAAGTGAAGGGGAAATCCCAAGGGAAGAACAAGAAGACAGAGAACATGATCTTATTAACCCCAACCTATCTGAAAATCTCCCCTGGAACACCTTTCTATTGTTGTCATCATCGTCATCATCGCCATGATCGCCATGAACAGAGTTATTGTTCTTTTTACTTTTACTGTTCCACTTACTACTTATTCTATTACTACTTCTATAAAACTTTTTGTTATTGTCAATGCAATAGTCTGCTCGCGATAACATGAAGAAGAAGATTAAGAAGGAATCATTGAGATAATGCAAATAAAAAAGCCGGAACAAATGTAGTGATTCATAGAGTCAACATATAACGCAAGGAAACGGTTTTGGCCTCTTCTTGTAGCTTTCGAGGTACTTTAGCTGTCGGTTGTTGATTGCACCATGGCGTCGTTCGCGGATAAAGGAAACACTATCAAGGGCAGACATGCCTGCTTCGATCAAGGCAATGGCGACCAAGACCGGAGCTCTGTAATGTAAAAAGTATGTAAATGGTATGGGCAAGATGCAAGGGCAAGATGCAAGGGCAAGGGCAAGATGCAAAGGCAAGAAAAAAGCAAGACGCAGCGTTAGTATGAGAACCTGTCACAACGTTTATCGTTAACTAAGTAACCTTCCCCCAGCCACATGACTATTTCTGTATTACCACCCCCAAACAATCTACCCCGAATACTCTACCTTCCAAGTCCAGCAACGCAATGACAAGCAATAGTTGGTCTCTTAGTCTCATCACTGCACTTTTGAGAAAATCGCCTGTTGACCAGATTAAGCCATTCACTTACGATCTGGGTAGGAGGAGCCTCACCGTCGCCGAATACCCAATCCTGATAGAAACAAGGTGCGCAATGAATATTTGGAGCAATTTGACAAACGGAAGAGAATACTCCGTCAAGTGGAGGATGATGGCAATGAAATGGGATAAAGTTTGAACGTCACTTTACATGTACTCGGATGTCTCTCTCTTCCAATGGAGCAACGTTGTATGTTGGTTCGCATACACGAACGACGTCGGTGACATTGTATTCTTCAAATGACTGTAAATAAATACGAGACAAAGAACGTTAAGTCATCATATATTACAGTATGACACTATTACGGCTGCTCATATTCCATGATTTCGCATTTATACATACTTTGATATAGTGAATGAGGTTATTATCGGATGGAGCATCGGCAATCAGGAATCGCAGACCCTCATATTCGACAAAGGTGGGGGGGTGAATTGTGGATCGCATTTGTACAGCAACACTAGATCCAGAGTTTCGATATCCGTTCATAGCAAGTTGCGTCTTTGTTGTAGAGTTGGTTGTATATTATTACTCTGTATTTGCTGACAGGATAGTCTTTCTGCTTACAGAGAATACACCGGGTGTGATTGGGTTTTAGACCCCGGTTGTAGTTGTTTAATAGTGATTTATACAGATATGAATTCTCCTGAAGAAGGGGGTTGGGATAAACGGATGGACAGGGGAAGCATACAATTAATACATTAGCGGATAATGTCACAACAGAAACAATGAATCATTGTTTAAAGACAGTTTGTAACGGTAAACATGCGAAAGAATGCTCCGTTTGTGGGGGTATTTGAACATTGCGTTCTGATATTTCATGTGCATGCGCATGTATTAATAGCATGATACTATCAGAAACATGTCTATCACGGGTGCTACTCTCGCTGCGCACACTCACCTTCAAACCAAAAACACTAAACAGATATCTTTTTGCTCTACGGAATCGTAGATGGCGAACTGTATAAAGGGAGGAGTGGGAAGGCTACTTGCGGACAATAGTACTAATCAAGCAACAAACACGAGCAGGGCGAGAAGAAAAAAAAAAGAAAAAGTAAAAAAGGGGAAAACAAAACGACGCTCTTAATTCTAGCCAGGGTCAAACATATGAAACTGCACAGAAGCAGGGAAGACTGCGGGAATCAGATTGGAAAGACAGATTGAGAACTAGACAGCTTTTAGTGATCTAGAATACTTAATACCGGAGGGGGCTACTCAACAGTAGTCTTATATTCTAACTATTCTCAAGTGATTTCCGATTTTGAATAGGAAACTGAATGGTAAGAGATGTTTTAAGAAGGGCGAAAAAAAAAAAGGAAGTTACAACGGGGAAAGTGAGTCTGGGGTCGAATGAAAAATTCCCTTATTTACGGAAGAAAATTTTTTCGACAGATATGGGTTGGGCGGGTTAACCTCAGCCAGTTTGTGGTAGGGGTTAGGTTAGGTTGGTTGGTACGCAAGCTATTCTGTCGAGTGTCAATAAAGATGTAGGGGAGATGTTGGTTGGTTGGTTGGTTGATGTTCGAGCATCTTTTTGATTTCAGGTTGATTTTTTGATGGGGGCCATGGGACGATGGGCTTGTAGAATAGACAAATATTAACGTCTATTATGGCTAGAACTATGATTATCATTCGTTATTATTAATTGATTAATAATGAGCCCCGCATACTCGAGCATTTAAAAATTACCATTTGTGGAAAATTATTACTGTAATAATTCGGTCGCGTTAATAATAGCAATGGATATGTTATTAATAGATTGGCAACACTAATACTAAGTAAGGCGTTTCTACAAAATAATGGGACGCCGCCATTGGTCCACCCTATATAATCATAAACTGTAATAATGATATATATTAAGGCTTGTATATTCAAATACGATATATATTGATAATGTTGTACAGTATCTGCCGCAGAGACAACTATCTATGTTTAGCTGTGGCTCTCCACTGTTAACATCCCAACGACATTGCAAGTATGCGTGATGCGTATGTGCGTATGTGATGTAGTGACAAAAGGAGTAAATCTTCCGCTCTTACTCAGGTAAGGTACGCGTTTCACATCTGCAGGCTAACGGTTAAGTGGAAATGGTCAAGTCATGGAATTGATGCTTTGGAACGTTGGTGTTGGCAAAATGTTCATCGATCGCAACACTTTTTTTACTCTATTATTCAGTCTAGGCTTTGTCATCATATGGGGATCATGATACCGAATGCCTTCAATGAGTCGTGCGTATCTTCTTATCAATGAAGATCCAAGTTATTCATAGTAGTGCTGATCAGGGAGATGATTCTGTGCGGCAAGTTTCATCTCAAACAATATTAGTAGATTGTCTCTCGATATAGTGAAGATGTTTTGCAACAGAGCCTGCTCCATCGCCAGCAAGGAAAAAAAGTGTTAATTTTATCGGATGATCTTTGAAGTCGTGGGCAAGCACTCATGTTTGAAGAACGTCTTAACTATTGTTCGAAGGAATACGAAACTTCTGATCGAGGAAGAATAATCGACCTCGGATTACAAACCCATGAGAGAGTGAAAGAGTGAGTGAGAGTCAGTCGAGTTGTGCGGATCACTGATACTTGGCTGGATAGTTTTCAGGCTCAACAAAAGGCTGGCAGAGTGTGTTGCGAAAACCGCTCGATGCTAAACAACTTGCTGATTGAATACGTTCTATATTAGGATGTCTTTTAGTTATCGTTATACTGTCATATGGATTTGACAGATTTTCTCACACTTGATACAAAATTCGGATGCCTCTTGGTTACCTTGAATTTATTTTATACCATAGCTCTCGTAAGAGCGAAAAGAGTCACTTGACGTCTGAATCTTCTATACGGTTGCGTCGTTTATCATTTCCGTCTTGTTCAATTTATCCTATGTTTGGCATGCCATTTTTTGAAGAAGATTGAATGTGGAGAAAATCGATCAAATTTACGAGGAGCATTAGTGTCTACTTGTTTGACTATTTATATAATTTGACAAAGTATTCTTGCAACATAAATCGTTAGATTTCATAAAACAGGATGTTCTGACCCAAATCGCAATCTGACCCAATTCGAAATCGGGTCGACCCAAATCAAAATAAGCTCCGAGTGATATT